TCCCTTTAGTCCAGCCAAGTAAGCCACAGGATCACCCAGCAGCTCCGGAAAGGGCCTTTTCGTTTGTTCTGCCCCAGCAGCTTCAGCATTATTAGAGACCTGCTGTGAGAGTTGGATAAGAAAGTGGCATAGGTAAGCGACCTCTCCTAAGAGGCAGCATTCGAATGCCCAGCTGTTTACGTAGAGTCTCAGAACAGTAAGGCCACCCCTTCTTCCTTCACTTTGCTGTGCTCCACCAAGAGGGCTCGAGAGCCTTCCCTGATGTGGAGCGGACATCCCCCGTTAGGCTGTGCATAAGCAAATGAAATTAGTGCCATGAACGGATTATTTGGCGATTTGGGAATACATCAAATTCTGTTTTAAACTGAAAGTGACTTGTAAAGACAGGGGATTCCATCTTGGAGGTTTCCGGAAACAGATGGCTTCATCCACTGTGCCACCGGGGCTCTTTCAATAATGACTAGTAGTGATCGCATCTCCAGCCATTAGAAGAGCCTTTTTCCCCTTTGCCAGTACAGTAAAATATGCAAAAGCCAGAATGAATCTAATGTGGAAACCTGTCAGAAAGAAAACACATTTTCCACAATAGAGAGTGATAAAAAGTGGTACGTTGCGCCCTGTCAACGTTGGAAAGTTGTTGAGATTTGGGGAAGCAAGGCTGTCTTGGTGAGTTGATTCTCAGAGATTTCAGTGTCTAAACAACAAAAAAGGCATCTTCAGAAAATGCCTGTTGACTATCAGCGTTACTTGTGGAACGAGCAGGTTGTAGAGCTGGGAGCGGGTAGGTGCAGGATCTTGAAGACAGCAGCTTTTCGTGAAGTGGAGGGGCCGTGAAAGAGAGACAGGCCCTCCAGGGGATGGACTGACACCAGGGCTGCAACACTGTGTTCAAGCACAGGAACCATGTGAAGAGTGTGCAGGGCCAGGCCACATGTTGTTCTGTTGCGCTGACTCGATGGTACCTAACAACAGCAAAGATTTTTGCCAATTTATTTTTAAATTTGTCTATTAAAATTTTTAAATAGTCTTCCTGCTTTTCTCTTTTTGCGTCAAGAAGTGTCATAAAGTTGCACACTTCTCTGATGACTCATAAGTATTTTAACTATGAGAAGGTAGGTACTGCGAGATGACACATGGTAAGCCAGTGTACTTAGGCTGCGTGAGTGCCCTGTGCACAGTCGACAGGGGTACGGAGAATATGGAATCTATTCCTGAAGCCAGAGGAACGAAGTCGAAATCCAGTCCTCGCTCGCATTAGATATTTGGCCATGCACACGAACCATTTTTCATTGTTCAACCTACTCATCTGTATCATGGCTGTAAGAATTGAGAAGTCAGTATAATGATATATAAAAAGCAATAGTACAGTGCTTGCCACATAGGAAATATATATGTATACACACACACATACGCACACATTTTTGGTGCTGTTGAGGTCACAGAAGAAACATGGCCAGGTGCTGCTTCATCCTTATAATTGCTGCTATACTTGAGCCCAGCGCTGTAATCACTCTGTCAATTCATCTCCTTGCCAGTCTTCCTCTCTTTGCTGATCATCTACTTCCTCTACAAAGCAACGTTTCCTTTTCCAGGGACTAGTCTCTCCTGATAACATGTCCAAAGTACGAGAGAGGAAGTCTTACTATCCTTGCATCTAAGGAGCATTCTGGCTGTACTTCCATACTTCCACCAATTCAGATTTGCTTGTTCTTTTAGCAGCCTGTGGTATTTTCCCCAACAGAATTAGGGAGAAAATGGAATCTAGTCCTGAAGCCATAGGAACTAACTTGAAGTCCATTCTTTGCTTTGATTAGACATTATTCAAATGCATACATTCTTCTTTGTTTTTCATTATTCACTATCCGTTTTTCACATGCACATGAAACAACTGGAAATGTCATGGCTCAGGTCAAGTGCACCTGAGTCCTTCAAGTGATATCTTTGCTCTTTAACATAACAACGAAATATTTTGAAACAGATTTTCCCAGGGAAATATGTTATTTAATTTCTTGACTGTTGCTTCCATGAGCATTAATTCTAAATTCAAGCAGAATGAGATCATGTTTGCCATGAAGCTGTCTATTGGTCCAGTAGAGAGGACTTCTGTGTTCTTGACACTGAATTGTAATTCATTCTGAAAGCTATGTTCTTTGCTCTTCAGCAAACAGTGCTTCAAGTCCTCCTCACTTTCAGAAAATAAGTTTGCTTCATCTGCCTAATAGGCCTTCCTCCAATGCTATGCCCATTCTTCTGCATATATTTCAGCTTCTCGGATTATTGACTCAGCATACAGATTGAATGAAGAAGAGGAAAGGATACAATCTGAAACACATCTTTCTTGATTTAAAACCATGCAACAGCCTTTTGTTTTGTGCCAACAATTGCCTCTTGATCCAGAGACAAGTTCCACATGAGCACAATTAAACCCCAATCAAACAAACTCACTGCCACTGAGCTGATTCTGACTCATTGTTACCCTGGGGAGAACTGCTTCCAACGCTGTAATTTTTTATTGAAGTAGAAATCCCCTCATTCCCCTGTGGATCAGCTGGTGGTTTTAAACTGCTGACCTTGTGGTTAGCAGCCAGCCCAATACATAACCACGATGCCACCAGCACAATGAAGTGTTCTGGAATTATGATGCTTTTCAATGTTATCCATTGTTTGTCATGATCATTGCAGTAAATGCCTCTGCATAGTCAGTAAAACACAAGTAAACATCTTTCTGGTATATTCTTTGTTTTCAGCCAAGATCCACCTGACGTCAGCAACGATATTCTTCTTTTCACATCCTCTTCTGAATGCTGCTTGAATTCCTGGTAGCTCCAGCAAAACTTTAGACGCATGTGAAATCAATGCTATTGTTCAATAATTTCCTTACTCTGTTGGGTCATCTTTCTTTGGAAAGGGCACAAACATGGATCTCTTTCAGTTGGCTGTCCAGGGAGTTGTCTTCCAAAATCTCGGCACATGCTAGTAAGTGCTTCTAGCACTACATCAGTATACAGGCATTAATATGTGTGTGCATGCATGTATGTATGTGTGTATGTGTGTGTGTGTGTGTGTTCATGTGTATAAGTGTGGGGTGCTATTGTAGTACAAATAAACTGTAATGGCTAATATGACTCCCACCAAATAAAAACTGCTATTCATGAATCTACTTTTAAAACTTGAGATGGTTATCCTTGAAAAATCATAATATCTTGTAGACAGCACCACAATTCATTGACACCAGGAAAGTTTATGAAGCCAAAGGGCGTGTGTTAAATGCATGTGAAACAATTTTCTTTGCCACAAACAAATACAACTAAATCTATGTTAATGCAGTGGTGAGTTGTTTGCCTTTCTATAAAAGATGGAGATCAGCATATTGTGGTTCTACTTTAAAAAATACTTTACACTTACTAATTCTCCTTAAAAGGAGAAAGTGAAATGTTTTACTCATGCTTACTGTGATCTTTATAAATCACTTAGTAACATGAGGATTCTCTAATGTAGAAGTCATTTTCTTAGTATGCCTGCTCACTTTTATTTATTTTATTTTTTCAAAATCATTTGATTGAGAGCTAACACAGGTAGCATACCATTCCATGGTTCAATCACATCAACCGGTATTGGACAATTGCTACCATAACCAGTTTCAAAACCTTTTCTTCCTTCTTGAACTCTTTAATATCCGCTCCCCTTTACCCCACCCCACTAACTCCGCCACCACACCCCCAAGGGACCCTCATTTTAATCGTTGTTTCTATAGGTTCATCAATCCTGGGTTTCATATAATGAAAAACAGAAAAACATATAACAAAGATTCAAGAAAGCTATCTACAATGCCAAAATATATTAGTCCTCAATATGGAAAGAACCCCTCCCCCCTGCGAAATATTAAACTCCAGATCAAGTCCAAGGGGCATCAGAGAGGGATCAAGAGACCAGGTTTTAACCATTCGCTTAGGTTTATCATTTTGATCTCCTATAGTCATTCTCCAATACTCTCTGTTTGATAACTAGTTTATTCTCATCTTTCAATTATGGTTACAGGGAAATCACCAGAGGCTTATGTCCTGTGTAGATCTCGCAAATGTATCTTGTGCTTCCATTCTCATCGAGCCTTCTGTAAACCCAAATCTCACAATTTAACTTCTGATACTATTCCCTCCTTTGGCTTTGGATTATATAATTTACAATCCTTGAGTACGGATGCTGGTGTGCTTCTTCCATGTGGATTTAGTTACCACCTCACTTAGACTGCTGCTGTTTGAAAACAGGTCCTTTTGACCCCAGACACTATTCTATTTGATAGTTGGGCACCATCTAATTTTTTCACCACATTTTGCTTAGCACCCATATCTTCTGAGTTTGTAATGCTTAAAAAAAAAATTCTCCTTAACTTTGGGTTCCAGAAAATATATCATTTTTCACTTTTACAAAAATAAAATATATTTATTATAAAAATCTAGAAAAGCACAAAAGAGAGAGTAAAACCTTCTGTAATCCCACCCTGAGTGATAACAACTAAAATACATAATTTTTATATTATTTTTCTTCTTTTGCCTTCTCTCTCATTTATTTCTGTCCAAAATTCAAAATTAGCACTAAATTATAGGAATAGTTTTATAACATGCATTTTTATCTCATAAGGATTTCCCATAAAATTCTACTATAAGGAAGCACCTTCATTTATTTCTCTAATTAAATATCTTGGGGATACTTACTGTATATACTTGTGTACAAGCCAAGTTTTTCCAGCACATTTTTAATACTGCTTTTGTGGTAAAATTAGGTGCTTTGGCTGATATTCGGGTCGGCTTATACTCGAGGATGTACGGGAGATGTATCAGAATTTTTTCTTCAATTAACAGAGTACTAACATAAATATCATTGCACATGGAGCTTTGGATACATTTTTATTATGCTCTATGCTTGGATTTAATGGACTAATCAAGTAATAAATGAACAGAATATATGGCACACCCAGGGACCATGTTTAAACTCTTTCATACCTGGCCATAGCAACCTGCATAATGAACAAGGCTCGGGAAGTCCTTGGAGCAGCTCAGTTCCGCAATGGCTTCTGTTTCACTCACCATCCAGCGGACACACTCCAACTGACCATTCTAGATTCAAAAAGAAAGAGAAATTCAATATCACTCTGCTTTGAAAAATTCACGGGTGGCAATTTTACCAAAGGAAGAGATCATCTGAATAGTGACTCCATCTGGCTTGATTTATTCAGAATATAATTGTACCACCTAAAAGTGGTGAAAACGGTTGAGTACTTCACTACTAGCTAGAAGGTTAATAGTGTGAAAGCACTCAGCGATGCCTCAGAAGATCTGTCGAGGGATCTTACCTGAAAGGTGACAGCCCTGAAGCCCCTTCACACATTGGGTCTCCATGGGTCAGGATGGACTCAGAGGCAACTAATAACATTATCCTTTTTGGTCTATGGTTTTGCCTTTAAATCAAGTGAAGAATTTCACTCAAGTACATTTGACCAATTATTTTAGAATCCGTTTTTAATGTAGAGTTTGATTAGTTTTGAGGCTATAAATCAAACTAAAACTCACTGCCCTTGGGTTGATTTGACTCACAGCCAGCCTACAGAACAAGGAAGAAGTGCCCTTGCGGGTTCCTGAGACTGTAACTCTTTATGGGAACAGAAAGCCTCATCTTTCTCCAAGGGAGTAGCTGGTAGTTTTGAACTGCTGACTCTGTAGTTAGCAGCACAATTCCTAACCAGGGCACCACCAGGGCTCCTGTGACAAATGTGTCTGCTCTGGTCATTACTGCTACAATCAAGCTTGTGAACATTCCCCTTACTTATAAAGTTTTCTTTTACTCCTTTTTTCTCATCCACTTCACCTCTGCTCCAAATAAACACTGATATTAAGTCTATCAAAAATATTAGACACTTTTGTGTCTATCTCCTTTCAGTCAACATAATGTCTTTGAGAGCCATCTAAACTACTACTTGTAAGTTTGTTTCTTTTTATTGCTGAGAAGTATTCCATTATGTGAATATATCACAATTTACTTATCCATTTGGGAGATATGAATAAAGTCTCTGTGAATACTCACGTAAGTGTCTTTTTTGTGAATGCATGCTTTCATTTCTCTTGAATAAACACGTAGGAGTAGCAGTGCTGGCTTTTCCAGTAGGTACATATGTAACATTAGAAAAAACTGCCCAGCGTCCTTCCAAGGTGGCTGATCATTTTACATCAATACCAGCAAAACTATGAACATATCAGTTGCTCTATATGCAAGCCAACACAACCCATAGCCAGTCAATTAGTACCCTTCACTGAGGGTCTATACAATAGACCGGTAATTTTGAACTGCCAAATAAAATGTTATAGAGTCAATACAATTCATTTGTGGAGTGAAACATTTTATTCAGTGGCCCTGTGTTTGTATTAATGAGTAAAATACATTTTTAAATGGTATACATTATTATGAAAGCGTCATTTGTCATGGGTGTAATGATGCAGAAAAGATCCACAATTCTCATACTTTCTGGGAAACCAAAAAACGATTCCCAGATAGATCAAGAGGGCAGTCCAGTAAAAGTGGGCAGAATGAACTGGAGTAAGATTTTCTGACAGTCTTTGTGAGGCTTTTGTAAGACCAGCTCTTGCTCCCTTGTTTTTTTTAAATGTAAACTTCTTTCCCATCTTTAAGCATTTGCTGAGATGTGAATGCTTTCAGGCATTATCATATGTATGTGAAAATTATAAAGAGTGGTCAAGATAGTAAACAACAATCACAACCTGGGCAGCTAGGGTTGTAGTAGGTTTTCCCGACAATTTAAAGACCATCTAGTGATTAAAATCCAAATTTTAAATGGCTTTGATTCCTTAATCTACTGTTTAGTTACGTTAGGCAAGATGATTCATCTCTCTGATACTGAGTTATCTCATCTGTGAATTATCAGGGATAATATCAATTACCTCATGAAATGCCCATGAAGATTAAGTGAGACAAAGCACCTACATTTACTAAGCACATGCTGTGCGTTACCTAACATTCTTGGAATGCTCTCTCAGATCCTCAAAATAACTCTCT